TACAGTAGTGCACAGGTCCAGGATCAGTGCAGTATGTGCACAGGTCCTGGATCACTGCAGTAGTGCACAGGTCCAGGATCACTGCAGTAGTGCACAGGTTCAGGATCAGTGCAGTTAAAAGAACACAAGTTTGTCCAATCTTTCTGTTGTTTTAAAGAAACCCACAGGTGGAAGGAGGGTTCAGACAGACAAACTAATTAAAGACCCGTGTTGAATTTTGATGGATATGTGAAAGCCAAATCTATTTTATTTTTTTAGATGCACTAAAACATATTAATACAACTTTATCTCATCTCAACACCAGCAGCGTTAAACCAACAAACTGCTGTCTGTTGGTCATTACTAGTCACAGGTACCATTTGTAACTTTACCCCCGTCTGTACACAAACCCACCAACATGGAAATTGCTCACTAAATTGTGTGCAATTTCATGCCAAAATTGTTATGCTTAATTTGCATAAATGGACAAACTCTGTGGCCCCCCATACACCTCCATGATAGAGAGTGAGCGAAAGAGAGAGAGAGAGAGAGAGAGAGAGAGAGAGAGAGAGAGAGAGAGATGGTTTGGAGAAAATGAGAAATAAGCAATCTTGGAAGATGGACTTGTGTCCAATGGACATGGCACTGCAACCATGTTAGTGCTTTAATTGACTTGCTGCCAGAGGGAAATTGGAGGCCCAGGATTCTGCAAATGTTAACCAAACAGGAAGTAAAATGGGATGTTTTTAAAGCTTAGTTTCAACCAACAACAACAAAGAACGACAAACAAACAAAAAAACACAGCTGGACTTGGATCTGTATGGTAAACCTGTGCACGGTGGTAGAAGTCAGGCTGGCAAAAATAATAAAAACACACATTTTAGGTTTGGTCAAATGATTTTTAAAAGCCGTTGCAACAAATCAACTCAGTTTTCTCGTGTCAAAACAAATATTTACAAGTGCTTTCTGGGGAGAGAAACAAACACATTTCAACATTTACGAAGACACATTCAATGACAGGGTCAGAGTGCATAATTCAGTAAATGGCACATTATTTTTTGTTGTCCTTTTTAATACCAACACCTTCAGACCTGCCGTTCCCTCAGTCCTCAGATCCCAACTCGACTCAGAGATAAAGCAGACCCAGGTACAGGTGAGGAGCAACAGAAAACAAACTGACGCCACCATGGCTGAACACAGAATAAAGAGCTTACGCCATTCTGACAAATGCATCTACGCCCACAAAATGGATGAACATTTTCATCTGAACCAACTGTAAGTGTTTTATTAAACCTGCTGATATTGCTAATCATGGAGTACTAAACCTCTGAAATGTAGAAAAGCTTTCCAAACTTTTAACGCAACTAATTTATGCATTCAAATGCATCATGTAAGCTAAACCCTGTAGAGCTGAAGACTTTGTGGTGGACTCTGAAGGATAACTCCACAAACTGACACCAAACTGGAGACAGCTGGGCTCACTTTCTGTACTTTCTTATTGCCCTTGGTCATAATTTGTTCCCACCAAGTAGATCAAAGCCTTTATTTGAAGGTTTTTGGTGGTTATTCTAATTTCACAGAAGTGGGAGTCAACATCTGTCTTACAAACTGATGAAACGAGCGTGGTGGGAATGAATCAAACAGAAACGTTGAGAAGTTGGTCACTGTTAGTTGTCTTGAATGTTGATTTGTTGCCACCAACAGAAAGGTAATGTGTTTAATAAAATAACTGTAATTTAGCATTTAAACATCACTTCTTGGCTTCAGATACTGTTTGAAGATTTAAAGACAAAATAAAAATCACTTTTTTGTTTCTCTGGTCAAACAGCTTCTTGTTCTCCCATTTTCTCACAAATTCATTTAGTTTATTTCTCAGGCTTTTTTCCTGCAGATCTGAAGCTCCTGAACACACAAACACAAGAAGTCACAGATTTTTATTATTATTATTTCACCTTCCTTGCGATTATGTTCTAAAAACCCTTCAGTTCAAATAAATAAAACACAAAAAAAGAACCAAATAAAACCATGCCAATGTGTAGTCCCCAAACTGAGTTGGCACACATTATTTACATGCTTTGCACAAAAACAAATCACACTTGCTTTGTAGCTGTCTAAAAAGGATAATGCAATAAAAATGTAAAAAGTAAATAGATGAGGTGGCTTATATACAAATCTGAAGGAATACAGGAGTTTAAAATTTAACAGCAACTTTCACAATCAACCACATTTGAGCAGACACAATATACAGCTGGGAGTGTGATACAATTTAAACCAACAATATTAGAGTTTTTAAAATTTGAATATAAAACAATTATTCGATTTTTATTTTTCCTTCATTCTTTTGATTAGAAGAACCTTTCCTTACAAGAGTCAGGTGTTGGCAAAGGAACAACAACTTCTTCAGACTTGTTTTGTGCTTTTGTCTTTGTCTCCAAGTGTTAGTTTAGAAACTGGCTCCATGATCATTAACCAAATCTTTCAGACTTTCTTCTTTATGTTCCCCTTTTTCCACAATCAAGGACCTCAAACAAGAGCAGTGACACTTTTTACAAAAACTGAACTGACAGGGACTCTGAAGAAATGAAATAAGAAGCACAATAAGTTGGTAGCAGTTCAACTTCCCCTTAGAAAGCGAAGCATCAATCAGAGAGTGGCAGTCAGGTTGATGACATCAGTGTTTCTGTAGTGCGACTGATTCTGAACGAGCTGCCGGCACCTCAAACTCATACGAGGCATCAATCAAAATGACTCAGAGATGTACAAAAAGTTCAACGCTAGGACTTCTATAAACACTGGGACTGGTCCTGTTTTAGTCTTTTCTGCAACATCTATTAATCCGTGATGAACCTGACGAGGTCCTCAGGCCGTGACGTAAACATGAAGTCGTTTCCTACAAGTGAAAAGTAAACTAATTTTAATACAATTTATACAGCTTTTTAACAAAGAGGTTGATTCTTTCTGTACACCTGAAGCATTACCGTAAAACACAAACTACTGTAAGCTGGTCACATGACACTTAAAGGGAAAGTTCAGATGCTTTTGAAATGTTCAAGAACAAATACCTTTCCTGTTGTAGACAGCTTTTTCATCGATTTCAGCTCAGAGAATAAGAGTGGGAATCTGACTGGAAAGACAAGCTAATAGCTAGTCCGAGTGGTGATTAAACCCAAATGAATTCAAACAACTCCAGGCTAAAAAAGTTTATACGATGCTGTTTTAAAAGCCATGACTTCACAGTCATGTTCACATTTCATGGGTGTCTACATACTGGTGATTTCTGTGGTTATTTGCAAGTGCAAATAGTGATAGAGCCAGCTGGAGCTCTTCTGGTGAAGCCTGGGGCACTTTCGACAGAAACATATAACATATATGCTGGAATTACTGTGTCATGAATCTGACAGTACTGTAAATGTTTGTTTAAGAAGGCAGCGATCCACTTTGGTCTTGGTCCTGCCACTCAAATTAACCATGCTTCAATTTGTTCTGAATCCAACTCTCTTTCTCTAAACTGAAGTTGTTTGCAGGGGTTCCCAATCCTGGTCCTTGAGGAACACCATCCTGCATGTTTTAGTTGTTGCCTTGCTCCAATGCACCTGATTCAGTGATTTAATTACTTCCTCGTGTTCTGCAGAAGCCTGTAAATCACCAATTTATTAAAATCAGGAACAACTAAAATATGCATGATGGTGTTCCTCAAGGACCAGGGTTGGGAATCCCTGGTTTAAAGAGCTATCTGCAACAGGTAAGATGTTACCTTTAACCCGAACCTCACTTCAAAAGGTGTGAACTTTCACTTTAAGATGTGTTAAATTGCAGTCTGCGCAGCACAGGACTCTGCAGGTTAAAGTAAACATGTACAGTGTTTGAGCAAAGAGTCTGACATATTTACTACAGTTGACTTGATGGCATGGATCAGCTAGCATCTTTTGTATATTTTTGGTGTTCTCTGCTCTAAACAATACTGCGCTACCCTTTTTTTTTACTTCTACCCTTATTGTCAAAATCATATAATACACTTATCTGACCAAACCTTGCTACAGTGTTACACAAAACCTTGGTCTTATCTTACAAAGGCTCCACTGTTTCATTACGAGTCTATTTGGGAGAGGTGAATCGTCTAAAAGTACCATATTCATCGTGATGCACACATAAGGCGTAAACAGCACAGAGTTTTATTCAAATTAAATCCAAAGTTAAAAGCCAGGAGCTAAGCGCTGAAATGATTTACAGCATTTACACTGCTGCTGACAGGCGACACATGAAGGCATTGACAGAAGTTCGATGGCGTCTGCATTTTTAGGCACCGTGTTGATGTGGGATATGTGTCTGTGAACACGGGATATAACATGTGTCTGTTTGGGGGTGGGTGTGAAGATGAACACAGGAGTTATTTAAGAAGCAGTCATGGTAGATTTACATATTTCCAGGTGTTCATGTGAAAAGACCAGGAAAAACACGAGGAAGGGACGCCGTCTTCAGCAGCAGCAGCAACAGCATCAAGCTGGCTGTGAGGAACATCAACCCAAAACGAAACGACAACAAAAAAGAAGACAGTAATGCAGCTGAGAGAGATGCACCGATTCTCTGCAAACTCCTTGTTGAGTTGAGCGGGCAGTGGCCAAAGGTGATGGACGAACGTGGGAGACAGAATGAGACAATAAGAAACACAGAGGGACCATAAGAAGAGGGCGAGAGCTGCACGGCTCCCGCTGCAGTCTAAATGAAGTATTCCTTCTTCTCCTCTGCGTGCGCGTGGTTGCCCTCAGCGTTGATAATGGCCGTGTCAGCGTCGGGCGCGTCGTCCGCTCCTTTGGCTTCGTTCGTCAAGTATGTTCCTTTGGAGAAGAGAAAAAAACAAACCCATCTGAAGGAAAACAAATAGTGAACAGCCCTGCATGGTGTTGGCAGCCCGAGGCACAAAACCCATCTGAAGACAACATCAGTGAAGCTACATTATTCATAAACAGAACGATGAGACGCTGGGAGAGTGTGAGAAATGTGAAAACAGCAGAGGAAGTGAGTAAAACCCTCCACAGATGAAGTTAGGCGCTAGAATCAACAAACACTTTGACAGCACACAGATGACTGAATGATCCGATGATGCTCTCCGAGGTAAAACTGATCAAATTCAAATGTTGTGACACAAATTAAACCTTTACCCTCAAGCAGTGGCGATTTTAGTCTCTTTATTGGGGGTGCTCAAGCACCCTAAATTTTAACTCAGCACCTCTGAAAAATTAAGGAAAAAAAATACAGTACTTGCCACCGTACAAGTCGCACCGCTGTATGTCACATCAATTCATAAATGTCTAATAAAGTGGAAAAAAAAAAACATAAATATGTCATTTTGCCATATAAATCGCATCTATTATGCATGACTGCTGACCACCTGGAAACGTGGGCCGGTATTGTGCCAAAAATCAAATGGTTGCCAAATAGAGGCCGCGGAAGCAAGCACAGGAGAACTTGAACAAGAATTTAACAAGATTAACACTTAAAAACAATTATTTGTTTGCTTGAACTTATAGCAAAGGTGAGTCCTAGTTGAAATTTTCCTTAATAAATGCACTTTGACGGTCAAATCAGCTGCATTTCAAAAATCGATTTGTGGAAGCGGGAGCGCGCAGAGGGACGACTCGCTGTACATTTCTTTGAAATTTAACAAGATAACCACCTAAAAACAATTATTTGTTTGCTCAACATTATAGTAAAGGTTTGTCTCAGTTGAACTTTTCTTAAATAAATGCACTTTAATGGTCAAATCAGCTGCATTTTGCCTGAGTGGTGTGGCGAAATGCAGCTGATTTGATGTTTGCTCCAGGAATTCTGGAGAAAGACGAAGGTGGCTCTGTATGGCAAGCCAAATGCATAATTAATAGCCACTTTTACCTATTAATGAGACACTTGGCTTACCATAATGCTTGAGGGCCCTCTAGTGGCTGAAAATGATGGTGTTCAATAAAGTCCATGCTCAATAATCCAGGTATAAATCCAACATTTTTCAGTCAGGTCATCTGGACAGTTTCTTTTTTTGTGCTGAAAC